GGCTCGATAATTGAAGGCTTCCACTTTTGTGGCGAAGCATGGTCTGTCATTGTATCTGGAGCACGCCATTAGCACCACCGCCAGCCGGCCTCTTTCACTTGCTGCCTCCCAAGCCCAGCAGTGACCGAGAGGGTTTGAGCCAGGCAAGTCTGTTGGATGATGGGAAAGAGGGAATGGAAGGAGTGCTCCTCCTTTGATATCTTGTCACCTCCCTTGACAGATCCTATTCATAGGGTCATGCACAGCAATCTCTCTCACTAAAGTAAACAGCTGAGTTTCCCAGTATATAAACAAAGCTTGAAAGGGGGGGAGGAGAAACAAGTTCAAACGTATGACAAGCACTGCTTGAAAACTAAGAATTTGAAGTGCTCTATAGCCAAATCTTACAAAAACGTTGACAGTGGTGGTTTTCATCCTGGTAAAATCTTCTGGAAAATCTGCATAAGGCCTATGAGCTCATGACATAGATGAGATCAGAAAGTTACTGTCAGAAGTTTTAGAATGAGGAGAGGTGTCCTTTTTTCATTCTGGAGTAAATTCTGGAAATCGTATTTCACTTTGTAGAATGTGTTCTGGATGAAAATGCTTTAACAATGAATGTACCCAGAAAAATGTGGTGGATTGGAAACCAAAATGGATTTTGCAGGAAAGAGCTGTGAGCTGGAATCAAGATCTTAGTGGATTTTTCCATTCCAACATCATTTTTCCACATTGGCATTTGCTTCAAACTCCTTGCAAGGCGATGTAACAAATCTGCTTTTACTGAAAGCATTTTTAATGTGCAGTTCTGAACGATAATCAAGAAGTATGCATATATTCTATATGTAAATAATTGGTATTAATTACTGAAATTTAGAAGTAACTGCATGCGGTGTAATGGTTGATCAGGATCTGAGAGATGCAAGTCCAAATCACCACTCTGCCATGGAAGCTCACGGAGTTACTTCCGGCCAGTTGTTCTATGCCACCCTAACCTTCCTCACAAGTAGGGTTGCCAGTACTGCTTGGAGATTTTGAGGGTGGTATCCGGGGAGGAGGAAGTTTGGGAATGATGTGATGTCACTTCCAGGTGATGCTGTAGGAATTTCTTTTATTCCCTGTGATAAAGACCAGACAGACATGGGGAAATTCCTAGGGCATTACTGTGGAGTCCATTTTCCAGTCGTTTCTTTCTCCCATTCCTCAATTTCTTAAGGGCAGGGAATTGAGCCTGAGGCTAAGGGTTTATCTACTGTTGGAAGGCAAGTGGCACATCTACTCACAGTTTGAGGTTGAAATGGAGAAGGGGAGAACAGTGTTGTAAGCGGCTTTGGAACTCCATTGAGGAGAAAAGTGGGGTATAAATATCTAAATAAAATAAACGTTTATCATGCCATATACCTATATTGCTGTGAAGGCTCATGTCTCAGTAAATGTGTTAATCTTCAGACTGCCACCAGTGTCTTTATTATTTCCCCCATTAGTATGTCTTTTACTTTTGAAAACAAGGACATTTTTTTTAAAAAAAGGATTTCAGTCTATAATCACAGTATTACAAGGAATCTGATCTGTATAGTTTAGGGTCCTCTCAGGCATTTCTGCATAGTTTTCTGATTGCCTTCTTGTTCTCTCAGAAGGCATTCCAGAGTGCTTAATTTAAGAAATTTAGATATTTTGCCTGAAGTTACTCCAGCATTGGAATTGCACGGTACGCTGTATGGCTATTTACAGTATATTTCATGCTATTACCATATAAGGTCAATGGCAAATTTAAACTGGGGTGGGGGGAACACTACCCAAAAGGGATCTAAGAACAAAAAATATGCAGAGGCTAGAATTATGAAGGGAATAATTGTACATTTCTGGACTTAATGTATAGCCATGTGCATTAACTAACTGTTGGGCTTGATTTCAAAAATATTTCAAGGACTTAGCAAGGAATTGGAGAATATCTCAGGGAATAAATTTATTCTTGTGAATTATATTATGAGATCATTTCACTTAAGGCCTTTCCAGACAACAAATGTACATTTATTTGGTGAGTAGGATCCATTCCAGACATCTTTGCTTAGGAAGAGCTTAAAGTTCCTCAAAGTATTAAAAGTTTTATAATTTAGGGGATGAAGGTGAGCACAAGTACCACAGACACCTATTGGATAATATCTCTAATGCTCTTAGTGACGAACTAATTCACCTCTTTTCTAGATGCTTCTGTTTTAATTTTGGCATTGAGAGATGCTCGACTTTCATTTTTTAAAAAGCAAATTTCCAACTCTCAAGTTTCTAGCCCATCCCTTTTCATTTGCATCTCTCACCAGTTTCGTTATTAAAAACAAGTTACGTATAATGTGGAAATTATTATTATTTAATGTGTGGAATAACATAATCCTTGGGCCTTACCATGGATTGATATTTATATCTGTTTGAAATAATCCCAGTAAGGTATAGAAAGGCTAATAAATGCACAGATTCAGCATTTATCTCAGTACTGGTTGCATAAGAGATGTCCATCTGTTTAGGGAAGGATAGGTTGGAAGCTTGTGCATCCCAAAGAATGACAAAGTATTTTTCACAACAGCAAAAGAGAGAAGGGCATAGACCAGGATGTCCATATATTGGTAGCCAAGTATTAAGTCAGCCATTAGGAGTGTAGATTCTCCCCCCAAATAAAAACACTTTGTATGCGCATGCACAGAAAATGCCCTTACTTCTTACAGTCCTGGTGGTGGTGACTGTTGCTGCAGTGGTGGAGCCTGGGAGCCGCCACACCAGGCAAGCCACCAAGGGGAGCAGTGGGAGGGAAGCCTCAACAGGCCTGCGTGGAACAGCTCCAGGTGAGCTGCTAAGAGTGGCTATGTGATGGGGGAGCCTTGGCAGGGGGACAGACAGAGAGAGAAAGGGGTGAGGAGGTAGAAAGAGAGTTCTGGGGTGGGAGGCAGAAAGAGAGAAAAAGTGCAACCAGAAGTTATGTCATGACATTGCACAATGTCATGTCCGTCCGTCCCCCCCATTTTTGCTCCTGCTTTAGTGAACCCCCCAGCAGCAGGAGCTGGAAACCAAGGCAGGAGATTGCCTGCTACATTGGGCTATCCGGTAAGCCTAGGCTAGGTAAACCTATCTGGTAAGCCTTGGCTAAACCTAAGCCCAGGCTACCTAGAGGTATATCTATGAGGTATCACTGAGAACCAGATTAAGACATTTTAAAAGAACAAATTTAATCAGGTATAAGGAGAATCCTACTGAAGTCTATTCAGTGGAGCTTAATCCAAGGAAAGTGTACTTATGATAGCACTGAAGGTCTCCTAAGCATTTTTTAAAATCTTCTGTAGCAAAGGATATTTTATCCTGCTCTGTTTGAGAGTTTGATGTTTTAATTGGAACTTGCTGATTTTATCTGGATACTGCTGTTTTAAAGGCTTTCTCTCTCCTGTGACTGTGTTTGAAAATATTAACTTGTCGTTCTCTCTTATTATATTGCTAGTTTTTTCAGGTTCCCTGTGTTTGTTATAGATTTTTACATCTGTTCACTTGCTGTTTTTTAGATGTTGTTATAAATATTGTTTATATTACTGTGTTTTTAATTACTGTTTTGAGCACCTCTGGGAATACTTACATTAATGGAGCAGGGTATAAATATCTTTAAATAAATAAATGATTATTAGATCAGTTGCTAGTAAAAGCCAAACTTTATGGCTGTGTGCCATGTATACATATATGTTAAGCCCCATATCAGTCTTGAAACTTTAACCATGGCTTTGATTGAATTCTGCAACAAATGAAATATAAGTCTCCCCCCCCCCCAGATTCCTAGATCATTTGTAATGACAAACAAGGAGCGTTTGCCCAAACAAGCTCTTTTTTTATGAGGGAGCCTCAACAGAATTTTATGGTGACACAAGACTCTTGATTTGCAGTTGCAGAATAACATGCAGCCCTTCTGGAATTTGTCCATATTTAAATGTCATCTTTGTTCTCACAGTACATTCCCAATTCAAACTGTTCTGAAGTTTGATGACTGCAAATGATTTATTGTACTCTTTTACAAGAGTGATTTGGAGCCCAAGAATGGCATATGCAGTTCTTTTTCTGTTTTCACTGTGTCATTCAGCTTTTTGTAACTCTACAGTGACTGGAGTATGATGGGACGATATTAAAAGTGCCGTTTGCTTTCTGATCAATAGAGGGCACTCCTATAGCAAAAATGCATGTTATTTTTGCTGTATGTATTCAGTTCTTCAATAACAGACCATTTAAAATAGATATACCTTTTATCCTGAGGCGTCAAAATAAAAGCCTAATTCCACCTCTTGTAGGATATTTTCTTTATTTATTTATTTTTGACATTTCTACCCCGCCCTCCCCGCAAGCGGGCTCAGGGCGGCTTACAAGAGGGCACAGGTAGTTTCGGTAGATGAATGAAAAGTGTTTTAAAGCAACACAGTCCAATAATCATGTTGTTTTGTGTAGTACTGAAGTCAGAAAAGTTTAGAATAATGTTTTAAGTTAAAACATATTAGATACCATATAGTAGTAATCATAGCAGAATAGCTACCATCTAAAGTTCTTTAGAATTCAGTATCTTCTTAATGCAAATTACTATAAACAAAGTTCCTAGTTATCCACACTCTGATAATATAGATGATTTGAGAGTCCAGTGAGGTATAGGGTTGCCATTCTTCAAGTGGGGCCTGTAGATTTCCTAGAATTAACAGTGATCTTGAGAGTACAGCGATCAGTTCCCTTAAAGCTAAATGGATGCCTTGGAAGGTGGATTCTATGTCCTCATACTTTGCTGAGGTCCCTCATGTCCCCAGGCTCCACTCCCAGGTTCTAGGAATTTCCTGATCCAAAGTTAACAACCGTAGGCATCCCTGTGTTCATTCAAATTAATTTTGGTCCCGTGATTAGTTGAGAGACAGTAATTTATCATCTCTGTGGGAACTTTCAAATACAATTGAAAACCTGTTGTTATGTGTGACAGGTGTTACTAGGTAATAATACTGTCTGAATTTATTTTGCAGTATTTCCAAGCCTGATGGTTGCCAAGGAATTGACAGAGCCATCACATCTTTCCCCGGCCAAGGAACTTTGACTTTGGAACCAGTCACTGATGTGGAACTATCTGCTCAAGGAAGTGGGGATCTGACTGAGGAAAGAAAGAGGTACTGTACATTGCATTTGCCAAAGGAACTTGTCTGTTTGAGTATCTTGGTTTTGGTATGAGCCTTTTGTTGGCGATATATTTACAAACATTGGCATGGGTTGGTCATAAAAGTATCTTGTCACTAGATTTCAGAAGGATTATACATCCTTTCCCAAAGTGATAGATAAAGGGTGCCGTCTAGAACTGTGCCCTTGAATCCCTCTGATTGGATTATTATTAGACCCTTGATTTTATATATTGATATAGGCCCTATGTTGTAGATTCTGTGCTGTACTATTTTGGTCTATTTTGCTGGTCTTATGACTGTTCTTAATAAACTTACTTATATTGATATAGGAGAACATTTTATTTGATGCAGAACAGAAGAAACAGTGTGCTGGTTTTACAGAAGTATTAGTTTCCTTCTGCTGTGACAAACTTGATCAAAAACAAGCTTGAAGGTGTATTTTCCTTCCACTTCAGTGCAAAAAGACAACTTGCATTTCTGAATGAAATTGCCATGGGTTTCCTTTTGATAGTTTTCAGTTGATGTGAAAATCAATACATCTTTAAAATTGTATCATCTACTTCTGCTGATGAAATCTGACTTTCATTTTTGAAGCTGTTTTGCTGCTATAATATGGAATGTTCTTTATTGCTTGGGGGGAAATCTTATTTAAAAGCAACTGGAACTTTTGTAATTTAAAAAACTGCCTCGCACTTAAAAGAAATTATTTATTTTCTATAAAGTTCACTTATATTGTACTCTAAGTAGCATGCAAATGAATTTACATTTAGCTGCTAAGATCCATACAACAGATTTTTAATTGATAGCCATGCTAGCTACATACTATGGTTTGCATAGAATTTGTTTCCTAAATTGTCTTTGCTAACAAATTACCATGGATAAATAGGAGAAAGCACCTGAGACCTCAGTGTTATATATCACATTGGCTGTGGAAGTGGCCATTGATTTTGTTCCTGGGGAACACCCTGTGGTCATAGAAGCCAGCTATTAATCATGACGTATCAAAATATTTTAAAAATAATTTTAAATCAAATCCTTTTGGTTTTATTTTCAGCCTTCCTTATTCTGTATTTGAAGCAGAAATAAGCCTCATGCTCAGATCTGTGTCAGGTGCACAAAACTCAACAGTGGTCTTGATGCTTATTAACAGCTCTATGACTTATGAATTCACACCTCTATTAATGGAAAGGTCACACACTGGAATTGAGACTATTGAGCTGTGCATCCCTCAGAGGACATGTCTTCTTCCATCCTAACAATTCAATCTGTTGGCTTGTGGCAACTGTTTTATGTATTACTAGAATCTGTAAGAAATGCACACATTTCTCATTTGTCAATTAGTGAAAACAGAAAACCACACAGCCCCCTCCTTCCATATTATTATTGCTTTCATTTCAATGAAGGGGAGTAGGAGAATGGATGTGTCAGAGGTCTGAGCTCTGTGAATGGCTATAAATTGGGCCCAGGGAAACGTGTGTAACTTTAGGAACTGCCAAAGAAAGAATTCCTGATTTTCCCAAAGAAGCCTGCAACTTCTTTTCACACCCCGGGTGGAGTCATCCCGGCGGCACGCGCGCAAAACATGCACACCACAGGAGGTCCCAGGACAGGGCTAGACTCCCCCACTTTAAGGTAAGAACGATGCTTGTGGGGCCCCCCCACTTTCCCCAGAACCCCCCCACACTAAAAAGGTCCTAGCTACGGGCCTGATCCGGGTCTGTGCGGGGGGAGGGCGGGGGTGGAGCCAGCACCTCACAAAGGCTGGCTCTCCCCTGACCTCTCAGTCTTCACCTTATGCTCGGCCTACCCTCCCACCCTGAATGCAGTGCAGGCTCCAACTGGTCATCCCTGGTGGGGGCTGGGTAGGGATTTTTCGCCCTTTCCTGATTGGCTACGTGGTAGGGTGTGTTTTTGCCTACCCTGTACTAGTTTTTCAGTGGATTGTGGACTTGGCAAAGGGCTAGTCACTTTATAGGTTGGCAGGATTGTGTTGGAAAACTAATATGCAGCTTGGTGAGCACCATTTAGCAGCCCCACTTTGGGGGCTAGGGGTCTTGCAGGATCAGCCCTTGGGTTGTGCAGCCTGCGGTGAGGAATGTGATCTGCCTTTGGGACTGCCTGGATAGATCCTCCCCTTAGGTTGTGCAGCTTGGGGGAATGGACTTCCAGGACATAGCCCACTTGCTGCACCGGCTGGGGGTGAGCCACAGCAAGGTGGCTCGAGCCAGGGGCAAGGTGGCTTGCCCTTTATATGGCAAGGGAGGGGTCGAGAGTGACCCTTGGCCTTGACTGTGCCACAGGTTAGTGTTGGCCCTTGCCATTTAAACATGTTAAAGTTAAATAAAGTGGCCCTTAGTTTACCCAACTTTCTGTGTCTGAGTCTTTCTTCCGACTGGAGGGGCAATGATCATGTTAGTTTTTCTAAAGCAAATTTGTTGGTCTCTTCCCAGGCTCTTAATTGTGATACACTGTCTTCTGTATTTGCTTGACGGGACATGGTTGGGAATTGCTTCAGATTTCTGTTTGTTTCTTAACCAAAGTGTGAACCAAACAAAGAGAAAGTGTGATCATGGTCTCAAGACAGGTGGCAGCTTGCTTACATTGTTGTAAGTTATGTAGCCAGGTGACACACTTGAACTGTAATGATTAAAGCAACATTCTTTCCAGAGAAGTGAGGCACAGTTGTCCAGCCCATTCAAGCTGTTCGCTGCACAGGTTTGCCTATGCAAACCTTCCCCAGTGCTAGGGAGACAGAGCTGCTTCCTAGACTTGTTGATATGGTGGGTCAGACTATATAAAACATACGGATGATTATATTGTAATTCCCAGAAATGGGTTTCATCTCTCTCCCTCTTTGTAATATCTAAATATAGAGACTTTTTGGGTGAGTATTGTGTATATGTGTGTATGCCTGGAAGTCATGGTTGACGTCTGGCAACCCCAAGTGGGGCTTGGTCATTTCAGAGAGGTGGCTTACTATTGCCTGCCTCTGCATCTCAGCCCTGGTATTTCTTGGAGGTCTCCCTTCCAAGTGCTTGCCAGGGTCGGCCCTGCTTAGCTTCCGAGATCGGACTTTCCTGCGCTATCCAGCACTAAATATAGAGACTTTTAATTGTAAGCAATCAAGGAAGCTTTTAAATTATGAGTTCTCAGGATATGAGTTTTTCAAATGAATGTTGTGTATATGTAGCAGAGAAACCCATCTAAATTACAATGAGAGAAAGTTCAGAGCAATAATGAGCTTGGATCCAGACTAGCATATCTGCTGCACTGTACTGCTGAGGAGCGGATTAGAAAAGCACTGCCCACCCGAGATCGGACTTGCCTGGGCTATCCAGAGCTAAATATAGAGACTTTTAATTGTAAGCAATCAAGGAAGCTTTTAAACTATGAGTTCTCAGGATATGAATTTTTCAAATGAATGCTGTGTATATGTAGCAAAGAAACCCATCTAAATTACAATGAAGTTCAGAGCAATAATGGGCTTGGATCCAGACTAGTATATCTGCACTGTACTGCTGTGGAGTGGATTAGAAAAGCACTTTGCAGGCAGAAATCCTTCTGCCCACATAAATGCTAGTCTGGATCCAAGGCAGAATCTTCTTTGAGTGAATATTTATATCTTGCTTTTGATCTGAGTAGTTACTGATTATAATGCATTGCGTATCTGTGAAGAGGCCAAACTTTACTATTACCCATGGGGCTTTCCTACAGGGCAGCAAAGTCAAATGACTCTTGTACATTCTCAGATGAAAATTTATATTAGCATTTAATGATCATTTGCCCTTATAATGAGAATTGCTTTGTAAAGATCCCATGATTCACAGCAGAATGTGAGACTGTATCATGTCCTGTCAAATAAGCGGTACAAAGTAATTGCATACTAACTGGGTATTTCACATTTAGAGGTGGCATGTGACTAGACTAACCTTTTCTAACCTACTTGTAATTCTGTAGTGGGAATCCTTGTAGCATTTCATTTTCATCTTTGAGTAGTAGAGTGAAGGTGATGTTACAGACGGACTTGGAAGCAGCTGCCCTGGCTCAAATAATTGTGCCTACGCCTATGCCATTTCCAGTTCAAGTAAAGTAAAGATACATGGTGATTGATGCTGTAACTTTCAGTTTAAATAAGCTGTGCTAAATATGGGATATGTGTGTCAACTGATCATGTAATGTATCCCATGAGCAAGGACAAAAGGGTGGGCGCACACAGTGTTTGTGATGGCTGAAAAATGCAGTGCCCAGGAGCATCCAGCATCTAAATGAAAGTGACAGTCTGTGACTTTATGAGTCCTGCGCTCCTCTTGTCTTGATCAGGCCTTAGGTACCAGTGACCTAGGCTAGTTCATGGAAAACAGTGAAAGAAGCTATGAGAAAAACAGATTTGTCTGACGCATGTACACCAGCAGTGAAAGTCATAGTGACTGTATGTCCAAAGTCATTTTATGCCTACCCCTGTAACTTTAATCTGGAAAGAAAATGTTATGGGTCAAATGCTTGACTGTTGAGCTAATAATCCTAGCAGAAAATATTTTTGGAATACAGTTAATTTCCACTCTTCTAGTAAAGCATTTTATAAAGTCTAGTAATTTTTTTGTGTGCATAATAGCTGTCAGTTCTAAATTTCAGAATAATGATTAAATTGAGGAAGATATCTCTTCTGAATAATAATACCTCCTTTTGAAATAATGGGCTCCAGGTTAGGGGTGGGTATAAACTGGCTCACGAGCCAAAATTCAGCAAGGACTTGGGCTTGTTTGGAGCCCCTAAACCAGTTTATTGGACTTTTGTCCACTTCGGTTTTGGCTGTTCAGGCCATTTAAACCTAACTGCTGAGCGGTGTGGGTCTGCAGCTGACCTGTGGGTTTTGCTTCTCTCACTCCCAAGCAAAAAACAGACAGGTGAAATGGCTGCCAGCCGTTTAAACCTAACAGTGGGGTTGGTCCACCCATCATCTGTTAGGCTTAAATGGCTATGAGCCATTTCAC